TTTTAAAAAAAATAAAAAGCATTTTTTTTAGAAACAAAAATCTACCAGGTGAAAGAAGATCACAGACCTTGAATTAAGGGAGACTTCAGGGGCATCAAATTCAACTCATTTTACAGATGATGAAACTGAGGCTCATTTAAAATGACTTACTCAATATCAGAGAGGTAGGAAGTATCAAACACGGAATTTGAACCCAGGGGCCCCTGATTCTCCAGCTGGGGACCCTTCATCTAAAGCACATTATTCTGTTTCCTCCAGAAGAAGTAAGGAAGATGGGAGCTGGATATGGAAAATGATCTTCAAAATGTGCCTCCATCTGCTTTTGGCAATAATCACTGTCATTTCTATAGTACTCGAACATTTGTCAAATTATATCTATATCTTTATATATTTCTATATACATATTTCTCTATATATGTATTTATATATATATTTATGTGTGTGTGTGTGTGTGTGTATATATATAGTGTGTGTGTGTGTGTGTGTGTACTCAGAGTCATACATACACACACACTCATAGAATTTAAAGTGAGTACCCTAAGAGCTCTGTGACATAGGCACTCTAAGTACTGTTATCTCTGTTTTGGAGTTAAGGAAACTGAGGCTCAATGATGTCAAATGACTTTCCCAAGATCACAAATCCAGTGGGTGTGGGGGCAGGATTTGAGCCTGGGCCTTCCCAACTCTAAGGTCAGCAGACCTACCAGGATGCCACACTGACTTTTTTTTTTTAAGGCAATTGGGGTTAAGTGACTTGCCCAGGGTCACACAGCTAGTAAGTGTCAAGTGTTTGGTCTGAGGCCAGATTTGAACTCAGGTCCTCCTGACTTCAGGGCAGGTGCTCTATCCACTGCACCACCTAGCTGCCCTGCCACACTGACTTTTGTAATAATACCAGTCACTGAGATGAGAGACTTCATCTTAGAAAACATCTTCCAGGGGTTGGGAACCTATGACCTGGAGGCCACATGTAGCCTTCTAGTTCCTTGGGTGAATCCAGGTTTTACAGAACAAATCCTTTTATTAAGGGATTTGTTCTGGGAAGTTTGGATTTGGTCAAAGGGCTGAGCTTGAGGGCCTAGAGGGCCACATGTGGCCTCGAGGCTGCAGGTTCCCCACCCCTGGGACAGAAACCAGACAATCCAGACTTTGTGAATTTAGAAAAGAGACACAACACATGTGGAATTCACATTCCCAGAGAGCAGCACCAAACCTGAGGGGCACAGTCCTTGATAAATATCCCCTGCAGCTAGTGAGGCTGTTAATGCCAAAAGCTCCCTGTGTACCTGAATCAGTTAGTGGTAAGCTATGCAATTTGGAGCCAAATTGAATCGTGGAGGTTTGCATAATAGAGGCTGCAAAAAATCAAATAGAAAAATGCAGACAAATGTCTCAATGACAAAGGGACTTGATTAAATGGATGGCTAGTGGGGATGGAAACTGCTTTGTTTTTGTTTTCTTTTGTTTTTTTCTGTCCAGGAGCAGGAGAATGTTACTCAGTCATTACTGGCTGGCTTGTGATGTTCTGTTTGTCTTTATAGAGTACACACTTTAATCCCTTGTGTCTTGTAGGGTCCCAACTCCATCAAAGACCATCTCCTCTCCTGACTCACATGGTGAGTTGGGATCATAAATCCTCATTGTTAATAAGATTAATAATTAAACATGAATATTATGATAATATACAATTCTAGGATAATAACAACAAACATAGTTACATAGTACTTTACATTTTGTAAATTGTTTTCTTAGTAACATTCTGGCTTCTGAAGCCAGAATTACAGAATCACAGAAATTGACAGATGGATGGGAAGTCAGGGACCATCTCATCCGGCCTCTATCCCCATCAGAATCCACATCAGAACCTACATGACAATGGTCCATCCCATGTCTTCTTGAAGACATCCAGAGATGGGGAGCCTCCTGAGACAAGCCATTCCATTTTGAGACACCTCTAATTGTTAGGAAGTTTTCCCTGATATCTAGCCCAAAATTTCCTCTTTCAACTCATTGCTTCTGGTTCAGTCCTCCAGGTCCAAACAGAAGAATCCTGAGCCCAGTTTTGCATAACACATATTCAAATACTTGAAGACAGCTATCACGTCTCCCCTTTGTCTCCTCTTCTCTAGGCCTGTCATCCCTAGTTCTGTCAACCGATGCTCATGACATAGACTCAAGACTCTTCAACATCCTGGTTGAGTCCTTCTTAAACTGTGGTGTCCAGAACTGAAAACAACCTTGCAGATGGGATCTGACTATGTGTCGAGTACAGAAGGACTATCAGCTCCTTACTCCCAGAAGCTGGGCCTCAATGCAACTTTAGTTGGCCAGAGCCTTGTGGCTATGATTGTACATAAAGAGCTTGGAAGCCATTCAAAGTTCTGTATCTTTTTCATATAAATTCCTGATTGGCCACACCAACCTTATTCTGTACTTATGACTACAAGTTTAAAAAACAATGTAAGACCTTACATTTATCCCTATTGTCTTTCCTGTTATTTGGTTCATCTTAATTTTCTTCCCTTTCTTGCAAAAATATTGTTTTTTGGATCCAGATTCAATCGTACATCATATTGGCTATCCCTTCCAGGTTTGTCTCACCTACAAATTCAAGTAGGATGCTTTCTGTGCCTTTATCCAAATCAATGATAGAAATGTTAGGTAGCACTGAGCCAAGCACAGGTTCCTAGGGGTACTGTGGAGCATCTTACCAATAAACATTGAGCCAAATGCAACCACTCCTTAAGCCTGGGCCATTCCAAGTCCATCTAACTACACTATTGCCTAACCTGAAACTCTGGGTATATATATACATATTATAGTTCCCATTTTATAGATGAAGAAACTGAGGCAATTCCATCCAATTTACATTTATTGAGTCCTTCTATGTGTAAGGCAGTGAGAGTGTAAGTGATTTTTCCCAGGATAACACAGCTAACAAGTGCTGCAATCAGTCGAACTTGGCTCTTCTAATTCTAGCTGTTGAACAAAAAAAAAAGGAAGAAGGAAGGAAAGAAAGAAAGAAAAGAACAAAGAAGGAAAGGAAGGAAGGAAGGAAGAAGGAAAAAGAAGGAAAACTGGTATGGATCATTCATGATATAGGTCCATTTGGGAGGGTCATCTTCACTTTCAGATTGGCAGAAGGAGCCAGCTATTTACCTGTCTTTTTAGGTGACAATGATCCCAACATTGGGGGGGGGTCATGTTTTGGGAGGTGACTTAAGATGAGCTTTGTAAAACTGGTGAATGAAGTGGCAAGTTGGACATGAAACATCCTTTCCTAACTATTACCAATGGAACACAGGTAACCAGGGAAGTTTTCCACATCATCATGCTTTTCCCACTCCTAGGTCAACTAAAAGTATGGAGGTGGTAGGGGGGGTCTTCAGAGACAAAAGTGATTCTGAGAGCCTTCACTCCAAATTATGTATATGTGTCAGCAAACCCATTCACACGATGTTAATAGGATTTAGAGATCAATGCTAATTCTATTTTTCTATCCAGATCTGTGATTTTGTTTGGACTGTGGACCACCTGTTGTAAAAATACCCTAGGGATGGAAATTGGCAGCTCTTCTAGGGATGTTGTTTGGTAGCTCTTTAAAAGAGATCTTCCTGAGGTTATGGAGAGACTGAGTGACTTTCCCAGGGTCACAGAGCTTGCATTTGCCAAAGACAAGACTTGGACACAAATCTTCCTCGATTCCAAGCCTGGGACACAATCCACCATTCCAAGATCTCTCTAGGTGATATTCAACATAGTGATGCTGTGCTTATGTGGGCCATACATTGGGATCTCCCATAAACTGAAGCTGATATTGTCAGAAAATAAATCACTTCTTCCTATTGAGGGTTTAATTAATTCTTCAGTAAGGGAACAAGGAGAAAAAGATTCTCTGAAGAGGGATATAATGTTATGTATGTATGCATATGTGTCTATTAATAAACACAGAGAATTTTAAAACTCTGGAGGTTGGCTTGCCCTAGAATCCTAGGATGGAACATTAGAGCTCATCTACCCAAGCTGACATGGCCATTTTATCACTGCTTCCTTCCTCTTCCTTTAAAGGTTAGGAATAAATGGGTAGATGTGTATATAAAGACAGAAATTACTATAGGCCACAGGAGACCTCTATAAAAGTCCTCTTCTCATCAGCACAGCAAGATGACCTTGTAGTCCTGAAGATTGCCTTAGGAACATATGCTCCAACAGGTCATAGTAAAGACTGGAAGAGACCTCCAAGGCCATCTAGATCAACCCCATCTTTTTTTTCAGATGAGAAAACTGAGGTCCAGGTGTGTGAAATGAGTTGCCCAAAGCCACATACAGAGTAAGTATGAGAGAAAGGAGTGGAACTCAAGTTCTTTGACTTCAGTGCCAGGTCCTACCAACCTGGAAAGCCCACGAGTCTGTACAAGGCAACTGAAAACACTTTGTGAACACCAGTGCAGAAGTTTGGAAAGGCCTGTTGCCAGAGGGCTGGCCACTAGGTGATAAATTTTGGGTGGGGTAGGAGGGTGGATTTGTTAATGAGTCACACCAACCCATATGAGCTTCAGCGACCTTGATTTGTATTGGTGGGTGAAGCTGCTCTACCTCTCCAACAGTGAAGCCAGTAACAGTATCAGAGTGAATGAGAGTAAAACCTTCATCAGGAAAGCCTCCAGGCCTAGACAACTACATGGATATGTGCCTTAAACTGCTTCCATCTGAATGGCGACCTTCCTTAGGCAGTTAAGACTGTGAGGTTTCAGAAGTTTGGTGTGTTATCCCATTAACTGACAGGAAGTTTCTAAGACCTGTGGATCTTTTCCTTCTAAACGAGGGTCAATCTTTACCTCCTGGGAAGGTCTGGCCCTTGGCTACCTCATCACCAAGCAGTATGGACCTGTCAGATACCACCCTATGGGATTTGAATGTCTTGGCCAAAGATCCTTCTGCCCAAAATGCTCTAGAAACATGCTGTGCCATGAAATGGGAAGAGGCCACTGGATACTTACACTCACAGGCTGACTTTTTGGCACATCATAAACTCCCTCCTTCTTTTGGCTGGTAGGAACCTGATGAAAAACCAAAGAAATACAGTTAAGATGCCTTTTAAAAAGGGTTTTGTAAGACTTAAAGTGCTATGTAAATGAGAGCTACAAAAAATAATAACAATAATTATTTCCAAACAACCAAATGAAAGTTCAGTGCTCAGCCACAACAAAGAAGGAAGAAGGAGCAGCAGATGTCTTTCTGGGAGAGGCTGCTGGTTTTCAACAAGAGAATACGGGTGAGGGGCAAATTGTCAAATGGCTAGTCAATCAAAAAAACCCTTATTAAGCACCTACTATGTATCAAGCATTATGCTAAGCCCTCAAAGTGCTAAGTGTATAGTGAACAGAACATTGGACTTAGGAAGACCTGAGTTCAAATTTGGCTTCAGACACTAGTGAAATGTGTGACTCTGGGCACGTCACTTAACATCTCTTTGCCTTAATATCCTCACCTCTAAAATGGGGATAATAATAGCATTTGCACTGGGTTGTTAAGAGGACCAAGCATGATGCCTTATTTACCTCCTTTGCAAACCTTAAACATCTATACAGTAAAAATGTTAGTGATGATGATGGTGGTGGTTATGATCATGATGATGATGATGATGATGACCCCAAGGCATCACAGATTTTGAGCTAGAAGGGACTAGCTCCTTTAGGGTCCTAAGCTTTTCATGGAGTCAATGGATCAGATAAAGAGAGTCATTAGAGTCATTGCAATCACTTCAAAGGTGTAGGAGCTGATGCCTTGGAGGCGTAGTGATTTACTCAAGGTCATTCAGACCATTTTATCAAGGATGGGAAGAGATGTTAGGGTTTAGACAAAACCAAGTGAATAGCCCAAACCCCACTACAAATGGGAACTCTTCCAATGGGTCAACCTGTTAGGGTCATCTCCAAAGGGACTTCTACATAATGCATGTATTGGACCCAGATGACTTCTCAGCTCCCTTCCCACTTCAAGACTGTAAGAGTCTGTGTCAGTATATTAAGGTTTCCTCATGTCTTTGGCTTGGTTATCGAGAGAAACCACTGATCATCAATTTATTATTAGCTAGCCCAATTTGTAAACTGATTATTAATCACCCAGATGTGCTATCTCTTAGAATTTTTCATTCATCACACCCTATTCTCAAAGTTCTTATGTGCTAATGGGGGGGGGCAATGAGTACATATAAGCAGAATAAATATAATCTTAATAATAACAAATATCCCTCCTTCCCTCTCCCTCCCTTCTTCCTTCCTTCCCTTCTTTTTTTTCCTTCTTTCCTGCCTATTCTCTCTTCTCTTACACACACACACACACACACACACACACACACACACACACACACACACACACGTCTGCAGGACAGTGAGGAAAACTCTGTATTTGTAGTAAGAAGCTCTGGGCTCTGGTTTCTGGCTCCCGTACTGCCTGAGTGCCTGTGACCTTGGTCATGTCCCTTAACTCATTTAAGCCTCAGTTTCTTCGTGTCTACACTGTAGCCCTGCCTACCTCACAAATAACTTCTAAGGGCCAGATGACACAAGGAATGTAATATACCTATGCACTGCAGAACAATTCAGGGACTATTGTTTCCACCTCTCTCCCCCTTAAGCTGCAGCTTCTGCTGACCCAGTGAGAAAGCTCTGGTGTCCTGGGCCTCATCAGGAAGATACTTTTGGATTAGCAGGTAACTTGGCACACTGCAAATTATGGATAATCCAGAACTGCTGGTCTTCAAGCTGGCTAATCCTCCATTTCCTTATCCGTAAATGTGTTACATGTATATTTACTACCCACCTTGGGTGGCAAAGGTCCAATGGAAAGAGCTCTGGTTCTGGAATCAGAGGATCTAGTTCAAATCTTGCCTCTGTTACTAGCTGTCTATGGGACCCTGGAAAAATAACTTCATTTCTCTGGTGCTGGGTTCCTCATCTGAAAAATGACGGGGCTGTACTAGGTGGCCTCCAAGGTACATTCCTGCTCAATCTTGGGTCACAGAATTGTTGATTTTGTAGTTGAGGGTTGGAAGGGACTTTGGCCGCCATGTCACTGAACCATCCCTACAGCCCAGCTGGTTCAGTCAATAGAGCACAGGACTCCTTCTTTCAGGGTTCTGGGCTCTAGCTCCAGTTGGCATACATCTTTTTGAGGAGAACAGATGGAGACATTAGACTGAAGTAAAAGTGGGTTAGGGACTTGGGATGTGATTGGGACACAGAACCCCCAGCTGAACAAAAGCCCTCTACCAATGCAGTTAGGTACTTTCTCTATACCCCAGTCTTACAGGGTCACCCACAGCACTGATGTCAAAGTCAAACAGAAATGTGGGGCACAATCTGCATGTAAGAATCTTTGTAGGCTGCATATTGACTTAATTTTAAAAGGTAACATCTGCATTTTACCTATTTTTATTTATTTCATTAAATATTGTTAAATTGTAATTTAATCTGGTTTGGGCCATTCTTAGGAACATTGCCTGTGGCCTTTGGGCCATGCTTTTGGTGCTTCTACCCTAGAGCTTTGAGAATTCAAGTGACTTGCCCAGGGTCACTCAGTCAGTATGTGTCAGATTCAGGTTTTCTTGGCTCTGATTCTCCCTGTCTCTCAACTATATTAAACTGCTTCTCTGAAGGCAGATTGAAGCTAAGCCATGTTCTTTTTCCCAGCAGGACCTGCCTGATGCCAAACTGTTAGGGACTGAACTAAGATTAGATTCACACATCTGCGTCCTCAGCTCTGTGTCTCTTACTAATAAGACAGAGGAAGCAAATCATTTGTTAGTTACTGAAAATATACCATATTCATATTCATTTTTCTCAGCTGCTTAAGCTTTAGAATTAGGGTGAAAACCCCATGTTTCAATCCTAAACTGATGGAGGATCCTTTAAAGTTGCACTCTGTCCCTTGGTAACTCTTATTTAAACTTGGATTTCATGTGAGCCTTGCTTTACGTAACACACATCAGCTGAAGAGCCATACGTCAATCGTGTGCTTTAGAAATGGAATTGTTTGTTTTCATGAACCAGAATCACTGGATTTTGCAAAGGAACAGCGAGGTGCATTCTTGTTTGGGGTGAAGGAGCCCCGACGGTATAGCCAATGATGCTCATCATCCAGCAGGCTGTTTCTCTAGAGGTGTCCTATGTTTGGGGTCTCAAAAGTAGGGCTAGAACAGGCCTCAGGGGCTGTCTAGTTCAAACTTTGCATTTGATAAGTAAGGAGAGTCCAGACCAGTTAAATAATGTGCCCTAGGGTATGCAGTAACCCAGGGACACAACTATAGTATGAAATGAAGTCCTTCTGATGGCAGGTGTGGCCCTCCATATTTGCCCCTGGAAAACCTGATTAAAGTGGGACACACTCCTACAAATAACAGCAGAAATGAATGCAGATGGCTGGAAAAGATTGTAGAACACAGAATGTAGAGCACAGACTGTTAAACTATGGAATGCTGAAGTTGAAATGGGCCTTGAATATCATTATTATTATTATTAATATTATTGCATTGATGAAAATGATGATAACAGCTAGCAAACATTTATACACTGCTTTAAGGTTTATAGATGCTTTAAATATCTTATCTTATTTGATCCCCACATCAATCCTGAGAGCTAGGTGTATTATTATTATTCCCTTTTTATTGATGGGGAAATGGAAGCTGGAAGACAATAAGTGACTTGCCCAGGGTCACAAAGCTAGTAAAGGTCCTTTGATCATAGAAAGCTAGAAGTGGAAGGGATCTTAGAATACAGAATGCTAGAACACAGAACAAAAGATGTTGGAGTTGTGAGAGACCTTGGAACATAGACTGCTATACAGTCAAATGCCCAATGACAGAGCTGGCAAAGACCTTAGACTATTAGAGTTAAAAAGGATCTGAAAGATTCTCTATTCTAAGCACCCCATTTGACAGCAGAAGGCAAGCAACCTATCCAAGTGAGTGAGTGGAAAACTGCAGTCTTGAATCCATACCCCTTGAATCACAGTCTGGTGTTCTCACCAAGACTCCAGGGTGCTACTTCAGATGAACCATTAACATCATCCCCAGACTCACTCACATCATTAAACCATGCATCAGAAATACTAAAAGGGCACATCCCTGAGTGCCTGTGCCTTGTGGAAAGAGAGGTACTCCTCCCCAATTGAGGAGGGGGTCTACATTCTTGAGGTCTGGGCTCTGCAACAGTGGTAAGTGAGATGGCAAGTAGTTGGATACCTGATAAATGTTCTCTTCCGTTTCAGGCTCACGAATTGGCTCATGTCCAGCCTCAAACACAATGTACTATTGGATCGTCATCCAAAGAAGAAAGGTCAGAGATGGAAAAGAAAGGGAGAAAAAGACCATTTGGAACAGGAGATCAATCAGGCAAGCATTAAAGACATAGACACAGAGCAAAGGCTTAACAGAGACCAGGTGGTCCGGGGAGAAGCACAATCAATGAATGGCTAACAACACAGTCAGATTGTTTTTGAAACAAAAGCAGTTGAAAGGAGGAGAATCTGTCTACTAGTCTACTCACTAGTGTTTTTATTGCTGAGACTCTGACATTACATCACCACCAGACAAGTTTACGCACTTTGGGGGTACAATCACATTCTTATTTAACACAGGGACAAGAAAAGTCCTCCCCTGCCCCCTCCATCTTTGTTACTATTTCTGGTATAAGCTTCTGGAGCAACAAGGAAGCATATAGAAATGTGAAGTGACTTCAGACCTCTGAATGTCACTTTCTTACTTCTTCCAAATTGAAAATATAGCATTAACTGGCAATAGAGTACCGCTGAAAATAGCCTGCATGGTCAAAGAGTAATCTCTTTGAAAGAAAAACAAAAACAGATTTATAGGTATAAACCTAACACTACCAGCTTTTGTAGTTGTTATTTTGGTTTGGGAAAATACAAGTTTTTTTAGGGGAAAAATGAAACCTTTATATCAACCAGCGCAATAATTGTACATCGATTTTAGATTATCAATTTATCGTATAGCTTTTTTTTTAAAAAAAAAGATTATACCTACATTACTTAGAAAGGACATATGAGGAAAGATGCTATCTACACTCAGAGAAAGAATTGATAAAGAGAAGTATATAAAGAATAATGTTACATATATAAGTATGCATTGTGTGTGGAAGTGTGTATATATGTGTGTGTGTCTAATGGTAGCTATCTCTAGGGCTAGGGGAGGAGAGCAGAAAAAAAGGGGAAAAATGAAATTTACACGATAGCTTTGTGGTATATTTAAAAAATAATAGCAAGTTGTACATTGTGGATTTGCAGTTTCATGTGCAATTATCTTTTTTTATTACACTATGTTCTGGAAAAACTGTTTTATTCTATAAATTAAAAACAAAAATAAATTAAAATATAATATATATAAGAGCCCAATTGTGTATTAGCATGAATTACATGGTGCATGGGGGGAGTTGTGCCAGCCATATCACTGTTAAATGCCTTACATCTATAAATTCTAAAGCAATATTTTTTAAAAAATGATCAAATCCATGTGTCTTGAATAGAATACAAATCAATTTCATACTTGGATGCAGGAGAGGAGAACTCATCCACCTCAATGTTGCTATTGTTTTTCTCTGCGCTTATGAGCTGTTGTGTCCACTATGATATAAGGCTATGTAGTCAAAGACTCCAAAGAAACCAAGCCCAGTGCAATCATCTATCGGGAAACAGGTGACTATCCTTTCTCCAGGACTGTCCTTTGTTGCTTGTGTGAGCCAATTGGCCAATCTTTGTTTCAGAGAATCACCTGTATTATTTTTCTAATGAACAAGGAATGCTCACCCCACTTTTAAAAGTATTCAGCTCCTGGTACAGATTTTAAAAGCAATATGGGGGTGGAGAGAGGAAAGTAAGAAAGGGAAATCTCTTGCACTCAGTCCTCCATGATTGATACTTGGATATGTTCATTTTTAATAGCCATCTTTTTCTAGATCTAGTTCTTAAGCTCCCTGAAGAGTTTTTAGACTCACTCTACTCTTTCCAATCAGGGGTCGTCCCTCTAGATCGCTGACAGACAACAAGCACGTCATTGCACTAGTCTAGCCTCAATGCTTGCTGGTGACTTTGTAAACCCACAAAGCTTCCAAAATTACCTGGTACACGGGATCTTCTACATCCTCCTCCAAAATTGTCTACCGCAGAGTCAGAGAAGGGAGGGCAAAAAGCAAAGGATGAAAAAAGAAGAGATGTGAGACCATAGCAAGAAATTAAAGGACTGCAAAGAAACCAGCCTTTGGGAGGAGAGGTGTTTCTGAAGAGGAGCAGCTGGAAAGGTGTGGAAAAAGTCCAAATTCTTAGAAACTTCCCCTCCACTCGTCCCTCCCCCCCACTTCCCCCATTTCATTTCAGATGACAGCTCTGACAATTGAATTTCTTTGCTTCTCACTAATACCACAAATTGGTTTGAAGATTTCACTGGTCTCTTGACTTTATCTCAAAGCTCAATCACCAACAGGAAAGAGAACGTCAGGCCATGTAGAGCCTCCTTACAATAGCCTGTTTCTTCCCAGGTTATTTACACCAAGGTTCTCATCAGGTAGTGCAGGCACTAGCTAACAACTTCACATCTGTTTACTCAGAGCTTCCATTTTTGTGGGCACCGGGCCAGATGTGCAGATGTACCTGGTATACCGCCTGCTCACACTGTTTGTCCTTCTGTGCCTTCTTCTCTAGCTCTTCTCTCTGTTTCAATTCATAAATGAGCTGAAAGAGATCACGAAGGTCAAGGATCACAGGTTCGGCCTGCAGAGAGACAAAGTAGGAGGCCCACGTTAAGAATGGAATAACCCCCCTTGGGCAGTGAGCAAATTCTCTCCCTGCTGGCTCCAACCTCCAGAAGCTCATTTTATTATTAACTTGAAAACACTTCACCCTAAATTAATTCTACCTTGTTTATATTGGCTTAGCAAATTGCATCTGGGCAAAAGTTCATTCTGCTAGCTAATTATATTTGCAAATTAATAATAATTATAATTATATACTTAAAAGGTGCTGCTTTTTATTTGGTAGTATCTTTTAATACAATGAAATGAGCATAGGCTCTTTGTAAAAGAATTATTTATTTTCTCTTGCTTTCTTTTTTTTGTGGGAGACTGTGAACAGAAGCAAATTTGTTTGTATACAATGAGTATATCGGTTTAATTAGAAAGAAAAAGAATTAGTCATTAGGAGAAGTGAATGGAGAAAAAAATAGAGATGGGAAGAGAATGATTTCTTCTTGAAGGGTGCTTAGATGCTGGTGAGGGCACCCTCTGGAGGATAGAGGGTTGAGGGGCAATGGCACATTCCATATGGTGAAGAGGAAAAAGTTTCGGATGTGGAGGTAAAGGACCTGGGCTCAGATTCCAGTTCTGCTATCTGTGTGACCTTAGGCACATTATTAAACCTTTACCTTCTTCCTCTGTAAAATTAAGGATTGGACTAAATGATTTGTGAGGTTCAACCAAATCTACAGCTATGGGATGTAACCTGGCAGGGGCAAAAGAAAGGTTAATTTGAAGTCTCAGGGTAACAATTCAAATCCTGACTCTGCCTCTTATTTCCTGTGTGACCTTGGAGAAGTTACTTAATCTCTCTGGACTTCCACTTCCTCACCAGGAAAACAAGAAGACTGGATGAGATGGACTCTGAAATACCTTTTACTTCTAGATCTATGATCACTCCACCTATCATGCCCAACAATATGTCCATTCAAAGAGAGACCCAATCAATGACTGAAATAGGATTTAGAGGTAGCAGAACTTTAGCAGGGAGGTCAGTTCAACCTTGTTATTTTATATACAAAGAAACCGAGGCCCAGAGAGGTTGTGACTTCCCCAAGGTCACACAGGAAGTAAGTGGCAGAGCCAAGATTCAAATTTGGGATTCTTGACTTCAAGCCTATCTTTCTTAACTCTGCACCATTCTGACAACCCCAAAGTGAAAGGAAAATGCACTGATGCTTCTAGGTAGTTGCTGGTAGAGCAGGATACTCACTGCCTGGGCTGTTTTGATGGCCACAAATCTGTGGTTTCCCTCCTTCCCACAGACATATCCAAAGGCTCGGTGGTCTGTGATATCCTTTGCAATGTAGGAAATTTCATGCACAGCATGATGATGCTGGAGTGCCTAAAAAGAGATAGAGGGAAAGGTTCTTTCAGAGAGCAGCCTATCTGATATGCAAAGCATGATGGGAAGGTTTTTACCTCCATGACCATGGACCCTGAGGAATTCAGCAAAATTTTGGGGATCAGACAGAAGGAAGAGAATCTTAGAGGAATTCTGAAATGATACTACGGACTTAACATTTTGATCAGGTTAAGAGAAATGAGAATATTCTGAATACTTTAAAGAATCATACAATGTCTGACACATAGTAAGCACATAAATTCATGTTGTTGATTGCCGACTGATCTGCTTTAAAAAAAAAAGCAAGTTAATTTCAGCACTTTGGAGAGTACCAGGTAAATTATAAAGTTCTGTTGAGTTAATGTTGTAGTTGGTTATATTGATTTGATTCAGAAGTATGATTTCATCTGTTCAGGGACCTCCAAGTGTGGAGATTCCTTCCACTACTTCAGACTGAAAACTTCTAACCAACCATTTTAAAGAATCTCTTGTGGCTCTTAGAGCTTAAATGACTACTTGCTCATAGTCACAAAGTCATTTTCTACCAAAGGTAGGATTTTAATCCAGGTCTTCCAAACTCCAAGGCCAGTCCTCTATCCATGATGCTACACAGCCATGATAACAATTAGGTTTCCACCTCTGTATGAAAGCAAAAGTCTTACTTTGTGATCCTAGACTATGATTTGGTGACCTTTTTCTTTCTCTTGCCTGCTCTAAGGCCAACCTTACCACTTCCCAGTCACCTTATAGGATCACAAATTTAGGACTTAATAAATGCTTATTGAATTGATTTGCAAACTGTTGGAAACAACCAGGTACATTGGATAGTATCCAGATATTTTGGAAAAGACAATTCATTCAGAGTCAAAGGATTTGGATTCAAATCCCCACTCTTCTACCCACTATTTATATGATACTGCACAAATCATGCAACCTATGATGGCCTTATTTCCATTCCATTCATTTTAACAAACATTTAAGAAAAGAATATGAAGACAAAAAAATGTCCTTGTCTTTAAGAAGTGTATAATTTACCAAGGAAATGATAACATTCACATAAGGAAGTAAATGTAAAGTAGATACAAAATAATATAGTGTTGTCAAGAGGGAGAGAGTGCTAATGACTGAGGGCATCAGGAAAGGCTCATGTAAAAGTTGGTACCTGAGTTCTACAAGATAATGGGATCAGACTAGTAACCTCTGAGGTTCCTATAATCCTATGATCTCCAATTCTGGGCAAGCTCTCACCTCACACCCATGGCCAACATCCAGGTGCTTCTGGTTTGCTTCCTTTGCCCATGTGGACTTCTGCATGACTCAGTATCATGGGATAGTGTTTGTTCAGAAAACTCTGCTTGTCTCTATTTGGTTCTATGATGTCATGAGGATAGACAGCTCCCTCTAACAATAGAGATTCACATCTTTTCTGCAATATGTAGTCTTAGAGATCTGATTGGAACATTTCTATGAACTGCCCAGGGTCACATGGACAGTATATACAATAGATAAAATCAAAGATTTTTTTTTATCTATGAAGGATCCTTAGACACAATAGCACCCAACTCTTTTATTTAACAAATGAGGAAACCAAGGCAGAAAGAGGTTAAGTGACTTGTCAATTAATTTGCATTTAACTACTTTTTATCTATTTGTATTTATTAACTTTAGATCAATGGTGTACATATTTTTATAAGCATTTATCTCTCCCATTAGAAGGTAAACTCATTGATAGTAGGAGTTGTTTCACTCTTTGTAGCTGTATGCCCAGAACTTAGCCCAGAGCCTGTGCACACAGCAGGAAGCTTAATAAATATCTGTGGTTTGACTGATTGCTCAAGGTCACACAGCCAGTATGTGTCAGGACCTAAATCCAGGTCTTTTTGATTCTTTATTGGGTTCTTTATTCATGAAACAGAACTGCCTTTCAGTGAATTGTAAGGGACCTTTAGATTGTGGATGACAGCGACTCCAAAGAGCAAACTGCAGATTTTTGTCAATGTGTTAATGAAGTGAAACAGTTGCAACGTGTACTCACACAACTGGGAGGTTCTGGTTGAAGGAGCTTGGGTGAACTACATTCTGATATGTGCAGGGAAGCAGAGTGGAGACCAGCCACTCATTTCCTTACTTTGCCTTTCCTTTAATGCTCTCTTTTGACTGGCTGTTAAGAAAGATGTCATCTCAGGGAGGCCCCTATTCTATTCAAGTTCACATTGTCTTATTGATCGTCAAATTGTGCTTTGGAAATTGAGCCATGATTAGAAGTCTTCCTTGTGGAATTAGATCCAGAGATTATTGCATGATGGGAAAATCACACCTAATGTATGAGATAGCAGATGGAGACACTTTAATTTTCTGGGAGCTTTCATTAAGTTCTAAAATCAAAACATTTTAAACTATACCTTATATTGCCTGGAAAAGTACATCTGCATGTGCCTTCCGGGCTTAAAGATATATTTGTAATCTTACCCTCTCTCAGAGTTAATTTTGTGATGAATTGAGGATATTTTTTAAGAAGTCTCATCCATTTGAAAAAAGGTTCTTTGTGGGTTGATCAATCACTGTCTTTGCCAACTCTGTACTATGCCAGCATAATGCAGATGGTGGGGATCGCAAATGCTTTAGAATGCAGTAAATGCAACAGCAGGGTAGCTGTGTTTCATCCCTGCCTCTCATAATACCTGCAAACACTCATCCATTAGACCTCACAATTGACTCAAATGGACAAGATGATTCATAGCAAGAAGACGTGAAAGGGCCTGGAAAAAGTCAGAAGCCCACTAGGGCTCTTCCCTCTCTCCCTCACCTGCCATGTCCAATCATATAACAAGTCCTGAGGATTCCACCTTTACCAATATCCCTCACCCATCCAATCCATCCTGAATACCACTGCTAGGATAAGTTTTTTTTTTTTTACACAGAGATCAGAGGATATCATCGATTTAGAACTGGAAGGGGCACTAGAGGTCATCAGATTAAACACTCTAGTGCCACAGGGGTGAAATGAGATTGGAACCCAGGTTTTCCTGACTCCAAGTTCAGCACTCTCTCCACCAGATGATGCTGCCTTTCATCAATCTGTTCATGCAACTTCTCTACTCAAGAATTCTGTCCCTTGAGCAAACATTGTCATAGAGGAACTGGATTGTAGGGAAGATCAACAGGGCAGAAGTGACAGATAAGAAGGGCATAAATACTGTCCTGAAATACAAGGAGAAAGCTTGTTCGTAACATATGAATCATTTATTCATCAAACTATATCATCTGTGGCCCTTCCCCCTCCCACTGCTACAATTCCTCAGAAAAGGCTACTTCTGAATCATGACACTCTGTGGGTCTGTACCCTCTCTAAACTATAACGCACAGGCCCTTCTAATGTATTTGCCTTCAATAGTTAGCCAGAGGACCCAATTATTTCAAAGCAAAGGCTTCTAGTAACATAGCATCCCCCAAAAAGTAGTAATAGAACATACCTACCTATAAAACTGTGGCACACTTTGCACAAACATATGCACTTGCAGTAGAAGGAACAGATACATATAGGAAGTATGTGTGGAGAGGTGCACACCCAGCCAGGCCAGAGCACACAAGCAGGAGCTATGCCACACTGCCGATTCTGCAGGGAAACCGATGCCTTCAGGGGACAGCACCCTGCTGAGGTCTTGGCTGGGTGTGTTAGCCTTTATTGAACACTGTCCCACTGGCCATAGCAGAGTCTCTGCTGGACAGCACCACCAGACATACACATGCAGTCTTGGCTGGATGCTACTCTTCTGGACACCATTCTGCTCTATACTGCCTTATCTGAAGTAGTATAACTGTCACTGATTCTAGAGTCAGGTGTCTTAGGTCCAAATCCACTTCTGGTCACTACTGCATTATAAATTTGGACAAGTCATTTCCTGGGCCTTACTTAGTTCCCTCTTCTGGAAATATGGCTGGACCATCCACCCTGGAGTTCCCTTCTGAAAGTACATCTATAAGCCAGAAATATGTTCCTGCCAGCCACTGCTCCACTGGGTACTGTTTCATGGAGTTTCTGCCATTCTCTGCCAGGTATGTCCCCAGTTGAGAACGTGGCTACGAACCTTACCTCTAATCCTAGTTTCTGACTTCAGCTGAAGTCCTTGGGTACAGTGCTATCATAAGAAGAGTAGGCTCTGCCATGCTCTTTTAGTTCAAAACCAGAAGAGTTTCTATTTTTTCATAAGTTATAAAAGATGCTGCCTCAGCAACAGATCTTCTTTAAGGAGTGGGAAGGAAGGAAGGTGAACCTTTTCAACTTCTTCCTTTACCAAACAGTCTGTCTTATTCCTTTCAGAATTCTGGCTATGAGGTTTCTCACGTCTTAGAGGAGATTCTCAGGGCCAGATGCTAAGCTTTTCAGAACAAGGGGCTAGCTAAGCTTTAGCTAAGTAGTTAGGGCCAACAGGCCCACATCTTTCCTTTTGAAATGAATTTTCTGGTTGCTGGGTACGGTTGACCTCATTCTAGCTTATGGTGAGTATTCCATATATCTCACAGTTTTAATTTCTGAAGGTTAGGATACATCTGGTCATTAGCCAATAACCATTGGCACATGGTGAAGGTCTGTGATACTTCAGGTTTTGAATCCCAAACCCCTCCAACTCTCAATGCAGATGAATAGACAAAGAAAGGGCAGCTAGGTGGCCCAGTAGATAGAGTGCTGGGCCTGGATTCAGGAAGACTCATCTTCCTGAGTTCAAATATGACCTCAGACACCAGCTGTGTGATCTTGGGGAAGTCATTTAACCTTGTTTGCTTCAGTTTCCTCATCAGTAAAATGAGCTGGAGAAAGAATAGGCAAATTACTCTACTATCCTTGCCAAGAAAATCCCAAATGGGGTCAGTAAGAGTCAGATTCTACTGAAAGCCACTGAACAACAACAAGATGAAGAAAAGGCACAAGGACAAAGCTAAGCCCAGGACAAAGTCTTTCTCTCTCTACCAGACTAGTCTCATCTTTTGCCAGTTCCTAT